CCTAAATACCTAACAAAAATGTGTAATAAACATGACCTACCACTTGTACTATGTTTCCACTATAATTTCTCTAAGTTTAGTTGATAGAGAAATTAAATCATGGAGTTTTAAAGAGTTAAAATTTGAAGGAAAGGTTTTAAAAGAACTCTTGGGTGCGAAACTAAGGTTTTACAATTGGTTTGGGGTTTAATGGTTGAATGTTAAGGTTATAAGTCCAATTTAGCTTAAATGGTTGAGTTGTTAAGGGCGAAAATTCTAATTGAGTGAGTTAAGAGGATATTTTAGTCATTTGAGTAGTCTAAGGGAAAATGACTATAGTGGATGGGTTGAGTGAACCCAAAAGGTGTTAATTGATTTGTATTGTGTACTAAGGAATTTGGCTTAGTTAAATTAGTACCCTATATGGAATGTTGAGAATTGATTAAGGAATTCATTATATGATTGCTCGTGAAAGTATACGTGACTTAAGAAGTTCAACGTGAATGGTAACCTTGGTGATAAGGGTAAAAGATAACTGGAGTAATCCTTCTATCTATAGTTTGTAAAATGATTTACAAGCATTTTATATAAATTGTATGCATTGTGTTTTATAAAATGATAGAGTAGCAGTATTATGAAAGAATTATGCATGCATGTGTATAGGTAATGCTTGTAAGGTATATGAAGAAGCATGTGCATTTACATCAGTGAGTGTACCCTGGACTAGGGTAAGGTATTGTGGCCTTACTCTATGTAAAGTCAGGAAGTCCTAAAGGTGCTAAGCATTGATGATGATTCGCTAAGGAGGACCCATGAATATATGCATCTATGAGTACACCCTAGACTAAGATGAGGGTCGTGGCCCTATTCTATATAAGGCTAGAAAGTCTTGATAGTCTAAGCATTAAGCGTGCTCCGCTGGTAGGGACTTAGAAGACCACCCATATTTATGATACCTGGTCTGAGGCAATGGTTTGGCGAGCCCTATTTCGTGTAAGGTTGGAAGTTCTTATCCGATTGTTTAGCTTTGCTAGTGGGAACTAGGAGTACATGAGCATAGTGGATAAATGAGCATGTCATTATGTGTATATCTATCTAAATTTCTTTTTGATAGAATTGATGCTACTTTATTCCTTGTATTTGATTTTACTTACTAATTGATATTTAGGATTTATCTAAGTTACTAGGATATATGTTTCACTTCGTTACCTTTTGTATATAGGTTAAGAGAGTATGAGAAGATTGGGAAAAGAAGTAAGAAAAGAATAGCTTCACTTGATAATGATATAACTACCTCTATATGTAATGAATGTATATTTGTATTTAAGAAATTTTTCCTGCCAACTAAGATGCATATATACATATGTGAGAGAGAGAGAGAGAAAGAGAAAGAGAGAGAGAGATTGATGAGTTGTGATAACTTGCTTGTGTATTTGATATTGCATCTCACAATGGTGAATATGTGAGTAGGCCTAAATACTATTCAAGCAAGTATATGTTATGTTATATAACTTGTTCCACTAGTAATGAATATGAATTTTTGCGTGATAATGTGTATTTATGTGAAACTTCACTAAATGGCGAGGTTTGACCCCATTTGTGTAAGTCAAGAGGATTTGTAATTTCCGACCATATTATGAGTCTTGGCCATATATGTGAAAGTTGGATGGTTAATAGTACAACAAGTATATTTGAGTTTGTGTGGTTTATATGGTGTGCCTCATATGAGACCACAAGTGTATAATGTGGTATTAAGAGGCCAAATTATTATTGTGATGTGATATATGTAATATGATGTGTCAGCCATGTGTAATAGGTCCTATTAAACTTGGTTCAAGGTCTAAAGTGGTCTAATAAGGCAAGATGTGGGAATTGAATGCTTAAGGTGCATGTTTTTGAAATGAAAGTAAATTTTTACACCCAAATGTTCAATTTAAGATGGACTATTGGATCGTGTTCATACTGGTCTCATTAGATAGATTATATGATAACCTTCGTGTGAGTGCTTACTTGAATCACTCCAATCAAGTATCAAATGTAAAAATGGTGCACGATGAAAGTTTATATCAAAAATATGTCATAACAGCAGAATTTGATACATGGACCGTGACACATAATAGCAATGCAATAGTGCATGACATATAACAAAAGCACATTGCTCTATATCACATGTCACGGTACATGGCTTGTTTTTGGGAAAATTAATTGTGTGGTGTATCTATTAAGTGGGTGTGTGTCTACACTTCCGTGAGCCCTTATTATTGAACATATTTTTTATGAAGTTGAGATCCCACATTTTGAAAATAATTTAAGGGCTTGTATCTTTGATTGTTGTATTGTAATTGTATTATAAAGTGTGGATGTGTAAGTAAAGCCCGAGGTGAAAATCAAGACTTTACACCCTTGAACCGTAGAACCTCTTCCACCATTTCTTTACCTTAAAACCCTCAATTCTACCATCCAAATACACCATTTAACTCCCCTTTAAGAATGAAATAAAACCCATAAATCAAAAATCATCCATTCCCTTCCATTTTCATCTAGTTGATTTCTCAAGTGTTCTTCCATGATGGATTCCATTGTTGGTCAACATGAAGAAGCCATGGAGGTTGAAATGGAGAGTGGCTAGGCATCTCATCTCTTCCCAAGATGCATGAGTGAAATCTCTTTAAGCTCCTAAATTTTTGGGAGTTTCTCTAATCTCTACCTCTTGTTTAATTCCTTGTAATTTTGGTGATTATGACATTGTAGTGACTATGGTTGTTGGAATTGAACTTTTATAATACTTGATTGAGTATTATATGAAGTTGTTGTTTATTTGCCAATTAAGGTGCTACAATTTTGAATTTGGGGCTATCCAAATTTAATTTTATTATCGCTTCTTGTGAGTCACGGTTGTGTATTAAGCACACTTAGGGTTGGCTAATCATTTTTTTAATCTATTTGAGGTCTCATTTGGTTAAGGCAAGGGTTAGAATTGGCAATTAACTTCATAATCAATTGGTCATTTTTTAGTATAATTAATTCTAAAGGTTATTTTAGGGTCCTAATTAATCTAAAAAACCTAGAAATGCTAATTCTTAATAGTTACTAGGATGTCCTTAAAATTAATTGGCATTAAGAGAAAATTAATTACATAGAGCAAGGATAAGAGAGGGAGTGCATGTGCCTAAAAAGACCATCATTTTACATTTTAATCACACAAACCAACCATATTCCAAATATGTCCAATTTGGAAAAAAAAACCCCAAAAATTTAGTTTACATTTAATTCTTGTTATTGTTTTTGGTAGATTTAAACAACTTGGGGTTTAAATTTTAATCAACCCCATGAGAAACCAACTTAGGTTGCGCCCTATACTCATTAGGCTGTTTCTTAATTTAATTTGAGTGGTTAAATGACAAGTGTATATTAACAAGTGTCGTTGGATAAGGAGAAGAAGGTAGTGCTCGCGTGGAGAAGAATGCAGTACTTGCCACAGAAAGTTGTGACAAGTACTCACTGAAGAAGAATGCAAAGGTGGAAGGGGGTGCTCATCAGAGAAGAAGGCAATGGCAAGACACGCAGTGGGAGGAGGTGGTGCTGGAGCAAGAATGGTGAAAAGAGTATGAGAATAATATTGCCTTTTCATATTTTAAAATTAACTCAAATGATAGTGCCAAAAAAATTTTCCTCCCATTTGTTCTATTATACAAAACTTACTTTTTTTAATGTTTTCCAATTCCTTTTCTAGCTCCATTTGGGCTTGATTGCTATGGTAGGGAAGAATAGGAAAAATTGTCAATATGGATGGAATAATTGAAACCTTGACAAGAAGCACCAAAATTTAAAGGTAAGATTTCAAAATCTGCAATTAAGTTTCAAGCCATTTTTAAGAATATGCATTGATGATTATTTGAACTAAATTGCAGATCTATGATGCCTTTCAAGAATCTTTTACAACTTGGTTTTCCTCAAATATTTCCATCATTTAGTCAATAAGCTCAATTTTCTCCAAAAAGTATTTTCGAAGTCATTCTCCACTCGTCATAATAACAATGTATGACAATTTGAGAACATTCTTTTTTTTTTTTTATTAGAAGAAATAAGTCTTCCCCAAGACAGATATTATCTATCACTAAATTACTACATATATAAAAGTTGAGGTTAATTCCCAACCATTTGCATAAGTAATAAAAGCCTCTATTACTCGCGCAACTTTAATTAGTTGAGAATATATTAACCCAGCCTCTAAATATTTATATTAATATTCATTTAATTATACCATCAAGAAATAAAATCTATCATATTTTGTACAAAATTTTAATAAAAAAATATTTCATAGAAGTATTTTCTTTGCACATAATGCACAATAACAAGTATGCGTCGTATTAGTTCGATATAAATAAATAAATGACGGGTATGGGCCTTACAAATAAAAATACCTTCTCTACTATTTCCCGATCAGATGCTGGGAAACTAAGATCATTGATACTTGTAAAAGCAAATAATGAAAAAAAATTATTTACAAATAGACAGCCGGTGAAGTTTTTGTTTCTACTTACTGGTATATGTTTTATATTATTGTGTCTTTGTTCAAATTGTTAACATACTCCCTCCATTCTTATATATAAATCACTCCTATACTTCCAAAATCATTATTGATATTATCTGAAAATATTTTTATTTTCAAAACAAATCATCTTTTATATGTAACCTCCTACCTATTTATGAAAAATTATGAAAGGGTAAAATTGAATAAAGTATTAATAACTTATACTTTTATACAAAATGACTGGTTAAAAAAATAATAATCAATTCATTTTAGAAAGTGACCAGAGGACGGATGAGGTAAAGACTATTAGACCATTTTCTGTTGAGCCTTTTTTTTTTTTTTTCTCCAGGTTTCCCGCATGTATTCTCTTATACGAGTCAATTATGTTCGAGATAAAGTCGGCACTAATGTGAGCATCCCTTCAAGCGGGGAATCGAACTTCAATGTATCACATTATGAAAAACTAGCTCTTTTTGCTAAACACAACTCCCATAAATCTCTTAGCATTTCAACCATAGGATAGAACGGGGTCAAATGATCATGTAGCAGGTAATAAAATATAGGCCCAAAATCATTAATTGATAATTTAACTTATAGATTAGTAAGGGGACTATGACTACTAAACCCGGCAAAATCATTGCATGTCCCACGCACGTGTAAGGAATGCATTAAAAATGTGTGAGAAAAATGCATCAAAAACTAAACTAAAACGGGTTCCTTCTTGTTCCTCTTCTCTTAGACCCACTAGTTAAGCTTGTGCTTGAGCTGGCTTTCTGCCAAAAGAGAGAGGGGTGGGTGGTTCAGGGTGGCACAAAACAAAATAAACAAAAATTTAGACTTTTTCCAGGCAAGAATGCCAATGACATACCGATTTTGATTTCTTAGCCTTTCCTCGGATCCTGTTCCTTGGAGGTTTCAACTTGTATATCCGAACCATCCAATGGTGAGTCGTGAATACCTGGAATCATATCAGAAAGCCATTGTTAGCATATAGAGCTTCGGTCAAGCATTTCTCATTCGTGTCAATTACCCACCTTCGGTCTCAAATACAAGTCACAATTCGTATATATTAAAAAAATTATTTTTTATTCAAAATTGAAATGTATTTCCAAACTTGCCAAATGTCTTTCCCCTAGTGTATACAATCCCAATATAAGCATTTGGGGGAATTTGTAAAAACATAAGCATTTTATGACACAAACACACACACAGATATATATATATATATATATTGACCCGGGACTTTCAAAAAAGTGATGCATATTTGGGAACAAAGGTATTATTTACTGCCATTTCTTTCTTATTATTTACGTGTATATTCCTGACACCTGGCACACTTTCAGTTCCTCTGTTCTAACAGACTCGTATGAATCATTTGTAAACTACTCGAAATGCAAGAAAATATCCATTCATTCCACTCTTGTCTGCAATTTCCACTATCATTCTTCAGCTAGTCATGCACGACTCCTATAATAAGTAACCCCATGAATGAATGCGAATGAGATGATCATTCCCTGGGAAAAATATGAAAAGTGCTAGCTGCTATAACTCATCAATATATCTAAGACTCACCTAGTGACCAAAAATTAAAAAAAAAAAATCAGTGCTTTTAAAATTGTACGTAGATGTGGACACAAGCAGCTAGAAAGAGGGATTATAGTTATCACATGGATGCATGTTGCTTATTGTGCATACAAGGCAATGGACTGATTTATGAACAAGTTCGAGCAGGACTAACTTATGTTGGACTGGCCAAAATGAAATTCTTGTTAGATTTATTTAGCTTTAACCCATAATAGGCTAGAAATCTTCTGCTCTTATTCTTGTTAAATTTATATATCTTTGACCAACTATGTGCTGGCGAGAAACTAAAAATTCCCCTGACCTCTTCGAAATGGCTAAGTTTGAAATATTTCTTCCCAATTTCTGTTCTCCTCACTTTGTCAAAGCCTCTACCGTCGGTTTCTACAAACCTGTAAAATCACAGGAGGCTTCAATGCCTAAACAGTCCAAAAAAGCTCAAAAATAGAAAACTCACAAACAGCCAAATTCCAGCAGAGCAGACCTGTAATAGGAGAGTTTATACATGAGGCATTTTAGCATTGTTGGTGTGGCCATAGAATCAATCCGATACTGGCCGTCCCTCTTTTAACAGAACAGCAAGAAAATAGATATTAACATCCAAGCATAACTCATCTCAGAACCAGGTAATTATAAAAGCGAAAAATAAATTAGCACACACTCTCCTAATGTAATATTAAAAGGGTTTGACAAAGCAACCAATGTTGCTTACAAGTAACTTACTAAATAATCCGGTTCCCTTATGTGAGGGAATACACCCCCTCCTATACGGACCATCCATAGGAACTTGTTGATATCATCACTAGGGTAGCCAACCAATCCTAGAAAAGTGAAGCCAAAAAAAAAAAAAAGTCAGAACATAGACTTGGATTAAATAATCTCAAAGAAGAGAGAAGATATTGACCTCCAAAGACAAGAAGAACATATTTGACATCCAAGGAGTGGAAAATTTCCCAAGCTTCCTTCTCAGGAGAAGACATGGCTGTACCAACAGTGGCAATATGTGTGTTATTCCAGGTATTATTGTCAACGATGACAGTTCGGTTTGCCATGGCAGTAGTTTGATATCCATAATCCCACCAAGATGCCACCTACAAGAAATTCCATACAAGCATCTTGTTTCTCATACATTTATAAGCAACAGGTTTACATCAATGCATTATTTTCCTTTTCTTTGAAGGAGACAACAATGCTGTATGGGAACAAGTGTCGTTTAGAGAAAAAAAAAGGCATGGAGCCTTCTTACAGTTAGAGGCAATGTCTTCAATTTTTTTTTTCTTAAATAAGACAATCTGACAAATTTATAAATATTGCAGACTAGGTTTCAAATAGATAATAGAATTTATAGACAAATAGCAAATATCACGCCCGCGCTCACACACATCACGGGGGATCCCAAGTATGCCACTGGCGCTGCAAGTATTGGAAAAACCTATCTGCACTTCTATTTTTTTTTTTTTAACCCAAAAAACAAATTTAGGGGAAAGGGGCATGATGGGACGAAAAGAATACAAGAAGCAGATTACCCCCCAAGTAATCCACAATATCAATCTAGTCAAATCAACAAAACTATAATTCATTTCACATTCTATATTATTACTAAGCTTCTAAAATATATATATATATATATATAATTTTTCATTATAAAAAACGTAAATGTCAATCCAAAAGTACCATGTTTAAAAAAAAAAAAAAAATCACCTGTCAATCGCCATAGTTTATTCATGCAAAGTGATGGTAAAAGAGTAATTATTTAGCTTCAAAACTTAAATAAGAAAATATCAAGAATCCCACACAGATATATGAACTATTGAAGGATAATGACATTCCAAAATTAAACGATAAATAAAGTGAGCAGTCTAAATACTGACCTTCCAAAAGGAAAACCATGATTTCTTCCAAATTGAGCAATATAGAGAAAAGACAAACACATGCACACACAACTACAAGCTCAACACCAATAAGCAGAAAGACCAGGAAATGTTACAGAATCTCACTTTATCATCTACTTCTGTATTATGGCTCAGCCAACCGTAAGCTTCCCTGAAATCATCGAAAACATGTGAACCATCATGTGAACGTGATGTTAGAACAATAGAAGGGGCCGAATAGGCTTCTGCTGCTGCCCATACGCTATGAACCTACGAAAGAGAGAAGTGACTCTAAATAAACTCTAATGAACTACGTGAGACTTCTGAAATTACACATGTAGAGAAATAGAAAGCTAAATTACCACATAGAAGGCACCCAGCAACAAAAGTAAGAAAATAGCGATGATGGATGTTTCCAGAGGCAAAACCAAGAGCCTCTTCTTAACCTGTGCCTTGGTAGGTTGTTTTTCGACAGGCTCTTTTTCCTTCGTTTTGCTCCTTTTTGACGTGCGTTCCTTCGTTGTGTCCTCACTTTTAGCAGTCTTGACCACATCATTTGGTGCCACAGCATTATCAGAGGTCGCATCCCTTGCCTTGGTCGTTAAAAACACAATATGAACAAGGCAACCTCATGGAATGACTATAGGAATGTGCAGCAGTGCCGAATTTGTAAAGCAGAACGAAGAAATGCTTACATCAATCTGAGAATCACCTAAAAGGTTGGGTAACTGAAATTTGATTGATCTTGTGAAGACATTAAAAGCTTGAGAAAGAGCAATCCCAGACATTATGCATGCAGCCGGGGCAAGTACAAGCATCAGACGAACCTAAAATTTAACAACACAATGATGGATTCCATAATAAGTTAATAACATTAAAAAAATATACACATTACAATACATGATCAAAATACAGTACCACAATAGTTCTTACCATGACTCCAGAAAAATATACAGACATTACAATATACAGCACCACAAAAGAACTTGCATCAGATAATGGCGAGAAGCATGCCTGCAGCAGGTAAAGAAGAGGATGACAAGTTCATGTACAAACCCAGAAGGAAAGGAAACGTAAAAAGACAACAGAATTTCTTGCAAGAAAATTAACTTACAATAACGCCTGCTGGAACCAAAAATGCCAAGACATTGATGTCCATAAAGTAAGATGGCCAGGTAGGCGGTTGATGCTCGCTCACACTAGCTATGATTGGTATATACTTGCTGGCATAAGTACTGTTGAACGAAGAATTACAGATCATTTTACAAGTTAGGAGCCAGTTCACAAGACCAAAGACAATAAAGAAAAGATATAGTGAAATGTTAAAATAGAAAAAAGTAGATCAAAAGATACTTCTTATAGTCCATTCATGTATTTATGCACCAACAGTCACATCAAACAAGAAAACCAAACTGTAAAGCAAAAAATGGAAAAGTGGCTGCAAGATCTCATATCACGCCACTAACTTGCAGTAGCTAGTAATTTTTTTGTTCATGGCTCCAGAGCAATTAGACAATAAATAATTGAGAACAAGGAACTCACGGGTCTAGTAGACTTAAACTCCGGCCACTCCATCCCTTTGTCGGGCTTGAAGCTACCATTGCTACAAGTACTGCCACTGTTGCACAACATACTGCCCTGAAAATTAAATGGTTCACAAGTGTTAAACAAGTTCAGTTTTCCACTCGCCATGCTTCCAGCATTTAAATAAACCATACAGAGGGATGCTTACAGGCCAAAAGATACAACTAGTGTCACAGCTACTTTGAACATTTTTGGCGATAGAATCCCCCTGATGTAGTACACAAGAGCCACAACATGAATAATGATGAAAACCTGCAAAACAAGAATTAGCAAACGGGAAACAGGGTTTCGAAGTGAACTAAGAAAAAGGGGATAAATTGCCATGGTTTAAACTACAAAATTTAGCTAATATATTCGAAGTCCTTATCCATTTCCATACATAAATAGAGGAAAAGTAAAAAGCATATAAATCATACTCCCTCCGTTCATTATTTAAAAGGCATTTTTTTTTGAAGCATCATGTTCAAAAACACAAGACATTTTGAATCTTTCAAAATATAATTAATGATATTTTTTCATAAATGCCCTTAATTAGGGGTATAATTAATAAGATTTTCTAATTGAGATAACTTATTAAATAAAGGTAAATATAAAAAGAATATATAATTTTAAATGATGTTAACTAACTTATTGGAGAATGTAAATTAGTTAAATGTGCCTTATAATACTAAACTGAGGGAGTACTAAATTAATTAAATGGGCTTTCAAATATTTGTAGATTCTAAATTTAAAATGATCAAGCATATACGCCCTCCGTTTAAAAATGTAAGGCATTTTTAACCGAATCTCACCCCTAATAAAATAGTTACTTACTTTCAAACTAATCCTATCTTTTCATATTTACCCCTATTAAACACCCAACAATAAATATAAAGTCAATATCAATAGGAACACTTTTAGAAAAAAGGTAATGATTAAACCTCGAAAGACTAAAAATGCCTTACATTTTTTAACATTCAACTCCTCAAAAAATGTTTTATATTTTTGAATGGAGAGAGTAAGTAAATACCCATGCAATTCATTATGGCTCAAAAAAGCTTCAGGCTACTTTCACCGCTGAAATGGCTAATACAAGACAGTAAGGAAGTCCAGACTACAACTCCAAATTGTATATGAGAAGAAACAGAATTTTCGGAGTTCAGATAGAAAAATAGAGACAAACCACCATAAATTGCAGAGAAGACAGAAAAGAAAATAGAAAACAATGCCAGGCTTTCAAGATGCTGGCATTCTCCCATCAAAACTACTCCAAGACTCATCCGTACATGCCTCACTTTTCCTTCGTTCCATATAAACCTTCATCATAGCAGAATTGATTAGACCCACTCATTATAGTAAAAACCCCGGTCCCCAATCCAAATCTGCCAGAGAACCCAAAATTGTTACATAACAATTTCCCACGTCGCTCTATCCTTACGTCTTAACCATCTAGAATAAGCCATTAATACTCGTTTCAGGGGACCATGCCTTTGGATTTCTCTCCCCACCACCACTTGTCATATCACCATTGTTGAAAATTGAAAATTCATCAATATCAATCTAGTCTTGAAATTTTCCTTTTTCCACGTATAATTAAATCAATTCAAGTCTAATCTTTCTCTAGTTACCCTCTCATCTAGCAAAATGGTATTGACAATCCTACTAGCCAAAAGCAATGATTTTTCCGTCCTTTTTTCCCTTTTTCTCTTTTTATAAACAAATATTAATAAGTTCACACCCATCTAGCTACCGTACTGAACCTCACACTTAGCCTGACGCATAATTGATTATGCACAAACCTAACTCTATGGCCCTTTACTTCCTTATTGAGAAAGACTTGTTAAAAAAACAAAAAAAAATTCCTCCCAGGCAACATCTCAATTCATTGTCCACAGCACAGAGAATGTAAACTTCCTAGATGCTGAAGCGCATTTTCTATGGAGTTGGACTGGGCTGTCAATCAATGATATTTTTTTTCGGATTTTAACATCTAATAATTAAGAAGGAAAGGAGGCATTTTGAAAGTTATATCTGATTTTCATAAAATTCTAGTGTCGTGTCGTCAGTTGCTCTAATTAGGCATTTTGGACATTTTTCTTTGCCCATTTGGAAGAATGTAAATAATCCCCTCGGCAAATGAATAAAGCACAACGGGGCAGTAGGTCCCACATCTAAAAAATTTTCATATGCTGTGCCACACGAGCCAGGGGATCTTTTATGTAAGTGCAGAGGGATTGAAAGCACCTCTCGTTTCTTGTGTTTGTCTAGATTCACTACTTCAAGTAGAATGCATTTTCCTTCTCTCAAATCTTTAAATTTTTTTATCAGAAAATGGTCAAAGCACATTAAAGGAGCCATAAATTAACTATGAAGTAGAAATAGTTGATTATTTTGTCATAAAGCATGATTTTATTGACAATAATCACTGCTATTTCAAAGAGTAGAGGAGAACTAACCAGAAATGATGCGAAGTGTTCTGACGTCATTACAGCATTAAACCCAACAACAGGCACCAAGGAAGCCAACAGTGTGCCCAAGACAATCTGCATTGAGGAGTTTCACCGAGTGAACCAGAAACGAGATATCCAGCATTGCTGGATGAGAGACAGTTTGCAGATATATAATTTAAATACAAATAAACATATCTAACTTGTAAATGAGCATACATGACAGATTGATAGGCAGCAAGAATTTTACAAGCTTCAAATCAAAAAAATAACGTATGACAGTAGCATATGCAATTATGCATAACGTGGAACATCACATATCTGTTGCATAAATAATACAAGATTTCCCCTGCGAACCTTCAAACGCACTCTCCATATTTCAATTAAGAGACAAGGCATTGATCTGAACTAAAGAAGATAATTTCATGATTGCACTAGATACTCACAAGAGGTGCGTATGCAATGTACAGTCGAGAAGAATAGCGACCAGTTATTATGCACAACAGCGCATGCAACGGAATGAGGTTGATAATAAAAGTGTACCCTCCCCAGGAGCAAACCTGCAATATATGGATAAACAATAGAACCATAACATAAAATTGAAGATGCATAACAAGAAATAAAAAGGAAAAAAAAAAAAAGGTTTCCATTGTACAAAGCTCACCATGTAAAAATATGCTATGGCATTCAAAGTGGCATAAAAGAGGGAACCTGTATTTAGTGTCTACATGAAATGTAAGTTAAGTCAGAATATTAACAAAGAGGACAAGCGCATAAGAAACAAATTGTACAGAAAAATACTAAAGGTAAACGAATTGAACTATTGGGATAAGCAAACATCTAAAAAAACAAAGGAAAAAAAACCATGCTGGTATTATCAGAGGCTAACCTTTATATAGAGATAGAAAGTGAAAATCAAAGCAAATATAGCGACAGCTTCATTATCATAGCTCCCAGCCACAGACCGAGATATATATGATGGGACCTGGAAATAGAAACATATTTAGAGAAGAGGAACCACTTATATACATGAGGAGAGTCTGCAACCAGCAAATAAAGGTATAATAGAATAGAGAATGAACACATCTATAATTCAACCATGTAATTCATACAGGGGTAGAATCTGTTTTAACAGACAACCTGCCAAAAATGTTCAAATGAATGCACATCAAGATGCATGACTGTCGATTAACTTTTATCCACTGCCTTTATAAAATATACATATTCATCAAGCTTACAATCTAAGAATGCTGAACAATTACATCATTAATTAATACCAAAGGATAGAATTAGTATCGCATCCTTCGTCAAACTCAAGTCATATCAATATCATCAGCTATGAACTTCTTGACAACAAAAAGGGACACTTCCATCACCGTTGCATATCCCCAAAAAAAAAAAAAAAAAAAGAACCAGTCTCAAGCAGGTGAATTAGTGAAATGCACGCATAAGGATGTAGCAACAAATAATATTAGATGCGAAGAATCTTCCTGCATAAGGCACGAAACAAACAACAACAGGATTCATAGTCTTGACGAACGTTCCTTTTCATGCAAATGAGTTTGCGTTACTACAACCAAAAAACTATACGATTCACAGAAAATAGCAGTGAAGATCAGATAAAACATATTGCTTTGAACGCTTATTTATTTATTTATTTATTTTTATCTTTTGTAGCCAACACTGAGTTTGAATGTTTTTAAACACAAACCAACGAGACATCCTCAGATAATTTATGTTAGTATGTCAATAGTATCACTGTCAAGTTTGACAAAATTGAACAAAAAATAATCCCATTCAGTCACAAAGCCAACCAAGATATTGACCATAGCCAAAAGAGCTGCAGCAGTCAGGCCCGCTCCAGAACCCTTAACTTCCTGCATATAGAGGCAGGTTGCACTATATTGATACATAAATTAATAATAATCAAAATATACAATTTGGGTAAGAACAAACCTTGGTCAGAAGATAAGTTGCCCATGAAGCAGAGGCTGAAAATATAGGTGCAGTAAATACACACACAGTTTCTACCGAGAGAGGAATATTTAAAGAATTCAGAAACCTGATATCAAAAGAGATTAACCCAAAAAAGTCAAATTCTTCGAAAACTACAAAGAGGAATGTTTAAAGTATTCAGTACTCAGGTAAACAACGAAATAATTGGTAGTGCAGATATTTATCAACATTAAGTCCGCCATCACCAGAAAACCAAGAGCATTAGTATAAATGTTACAAACTGCACTATTTCAGACACTTACCACCATAAGGTGCCTGCTGTCAAGGTCAAACCAGGATAGACAGTCCCACCAATTACACGACCCAAAGGATACCTTGAATAAAGGGTGACACTCATTAACGCTAGAAATATAATTCAACAACTAACAAACTGGTTAGACTGAATAGATGACCAAGAAGCGAAAGTGTTGCAATTCATGCACTGGCTACTTACCAAGTTCGATCATCAAACCAGTTCCAAAAATCATATATCCCATTCTTTGTTAGAAACTGAAACCACCCAATATTCCTGTCATCTTCGGTGAGTTTTAATTGCATTGCTATAGATTATTTTTTGCAGAAAATAATATAATCCAGAAAACATATACTCGTTCTGTTGTCATACACATACTGAGAACAAAAAAATTATCTTTAGTGAATACTCGCAAGATACCAACTAGCAACAAATTGAAAAAAATAAAACACGAACTGCAAAAAATAATGTTACATATAATAATGATGAGTTTAAATTTTTAAATCAGCAACTGAGAAACTCGGGGAAACTAACAGCATCAGTTTGAGAGACTCGCCAATCTTCGCAAGAATAAGAACTAAAGGGTGGAAAAAGGTTTCATTTCACATAAAGCTCACCTGAGTGACTCTATAATTGAAATAAGGATCAAACTCATGAATCACACTTTCGTACTTTATAACCTGTTACAGTAAACGGCAGATGTCAATGTCATGGACTGCTAGAGAAACAAATGAAAATACATAGATTACATCGGTTCTGCTGGACAGAATAAAGAATTAAAATTGCAATGCAAATAGGAAAATGAGCCTATATTCTATAATACAGAATATAATGACAAGAAGATAGCATTTAGAGCTTATATGACACCAAGACTTGGCACACTTATTTCCCTTAACCAGAAATGACCATTTTCGCTAACAAAATTTCTGATATTGTGAATAAGCAAAAATATATAAATTCATGCAGTTCAAATCCACAAAAGGAAAATGAACTGTGACAAAATTACATTCTCAGATCCAAGGACACAGAAATGTTGAAAGGCTTACAGAGAAGAGACGGATAGAGAAGGCTAGAACACCAACAAGGATTAAGATGAAGAACGAAAGGACACTTCCGAAAGCATTCCGGAACAAGCTGCCGTTCGAAGCATCGGAGGCCGCCATTGACGGCCAGATTGAGCTTTCGGGGGGAAAGGGAGGAGAAGTACGTGTCTCTGAGACTGAGACGCCAGTTATTGAAGTCGTCGTCGAGAAGGAAGACTTGAGGGGAGGGAAGACTAAACTGTCATTTTATTGGAAAAGACGATGACGGATCAAAAGTTTGTATTTAATGACGAAGATATTATTCAGTTTTCCGACGTGGCGAAATGTTATTGCTTTGCAACAAGTAGCCTGGGAATGGGTCGTGGGATGCTGTTTTGGCCACGCAGCGTCAGTCGATTGGACGTTTCCACGCACAACTAAAACTCATTATTCTTGTTATTATTATTTTTTTGAATGAAAACTAAATTCAAGAGTCAGCAAAAATGACAGTACAAGGAACCTAATACAAGACCAAAGAAAGCAGACTCAATCATCATACACTTCCTAATGTAATATTCCGTGGGTGATGATCAAAGAGATAAATAAAACTTTTCATAAAATGAGCTTCACTAGCAAGAAAATGAGTATTACTAATTACATCCCTAAAAACAAAACTAATAGAAACAGACTAATCTCTATAAATGAAATTACAAACATTTTGAATGATATCTCTGTAAGGGTGTTCCTCATGATAACCTCTCGTGAGAAGGTTGATTGCTTCTATGCTATCCAAGTAGACTTCAACATTCCTCAACCCCTTAACCCAACAGAGATTAAGACCTTCAAAAATTGCTAGGACTTTAGCAATAGTGGATGGATAATTCTCAAGCTTAGAATTAAAGCCCTTTGTCATTTGAGATACATTCACACAGGTCGCTAATCCATTTAGACAAGAACTATCGATGTCTAGTCTTATAGCTCCTTGTGAAGGTGAGTGCCAAAACTCCTTGCCACTAGACATAGATCGACTTACTTTGAGTTTTCCCAGCCATTTAGAATTAGTTAAGGCTTTCAATAGGAATTTATTAGGGTCTAGTTGAATAAGCTGGCTTTGTTCATCAAGAACATTTTTACAACGTATAACCCAAAGTTCCCAATACATGTAAGCGAAAGCTATTGGCCATGGGAGTTGTAAATTAGAGTAAGAACCTGCTAGGTTTACAAAGTTCCATCTGATCCATTCTAAACAGTCAAGGCTCAAAAATCATGTCCAGAGATTAGCTTTCACAAGTTGCTTCCACGTCTCTTGAGTGATACGATAGTCACATATGATGTGCATGGCTGTTTCCTCTTCACCACATCCCAGGGGACAATGATTGGAATCCATAATTTTTCATTTCTCCCTTAGGCTTGCTGTATGAAGTCTATCCTTGCCCATGAGCCAAAGGAAGGCTTTGATCTTCTCTAGAATATTCCACCTTTAAAGGTTAGTCCAGATTCTGTCCTTCATTAGTGCTATATGTAACATATGAGAAAATTAAGTGTGATTAGTTAACTTAATAAGTGCGATTAATGAGTCAATGAGATTTGTAGCTAGAGAGGCCTAATTAATATAATTTATTGCAATTTCAACTCTAAAAGTGGATCCAAATTGATGGCGGGCCACCCGAGTAGAGAAAGAGGAAGAAAATTTGAAAGAATGCCCTTGTGCCACATGCCACGACACACAAAAGTAGATTTAAATGCAACGAGCCTTTCTGTGCCATGTGTCGTGATGGAGGGTAGTATGCGTCGTGGTGCATGGCCAAAAATATGATTAAATCTGTTCGTCTCTATGTGTGAGAACAAAAGAGAGGGATCGGAAGAAAATGAAGAACACAATTGAGCTTTACTAGGGCAGATTGTTAGATCATCTTGGTAATAGTTTGAAACTCCCAAACACCCAAGGTAAGCAATCTATGCCTTCTTCTTCCTTTCTCTCCCTCATTTATAGAGATTTGAATTAGAGTTGAGTTAGAAAGTTGATTTTCAATTCATAGATATTATGGGTTTGATTCCATTGGATAAAATAGATATAATGGGAGTTGTATATGGTAGTTAAACCCTACATTAATGATTCCATTAATGATGGTTTAAAGATCTATTAATGATAATGTGCATTAATAAAACTAATAAATCTATTGGATATGAATAGATAGTGATTTATAAGATTGATAGAATAGATATATGGAGTTTGGTATTAGTAAATACTAAAAAATGAGATAATGATGGTATCCTTGTGTTATGAATGTAGTGAGGTTCAATTTGGCACCATTCAAGCTAATGAGAAGCTTTGAAAGTTGGTATTGTGAGAGGTAAACATTTGACCTCTCAAAAGTTTAAGGTAATTAGGAAAAACTTAACTTTATATAGTTGAATATTAATTTGTTATTAGTTGAAAATGGATTGTTTTGAATCATGATTTATATTTTGAATTATAAATGCAATTTTAGGCAAAAAGATGAACTTGTAAATGGTTTGATAAATGAAAACCTCTTACATGTCATCCAATTATGATTTATGAATTTATCCTGGCATGTATTTTGATTGAAAATTGTGATTTGTAATATGGAGTATTTAAAGTAATTGAGCAGGAGTATGTGAGTTATATGACATGATATGTTTGAGTTGAATGCATAATTATGTGAGTTGTACATAGTATGATCATTAGTGGTTTAGTTAAATCCATGTGGTATCGGTAATGACCTTTGGAATTGAAAACTTGCCTTGGCCCCAACCGTTGAAATCGGGAGGTAGTGTAAAGACTGAATTCGAAATTGTAAAGTCCTGACCCAATCCAGACTTAACCGTTCCATATCAAGCTATCAACAAACACAAATTACAATCCAAATTAGAGTAATAACCCTTATTTGTTTTCAAATTGTGGGATCCTAACTTTTTAAAATATATATTCAAAGAAGAGGGCTAGTAGAAGCATAAACACAATCAAATGATTTAAAAAGCCATAACTTCTCAACCTAGAAAAAGGGCCATGCGCCGTAGCGTGCAACATGTGCATTATGCGCCATGCACCACAGTATGCCTGTCTGAATTTTTACTGTCAATTTGATAGCAAATATGACAAACTTTCATCATGTGCCATTTTCACACCTAACGTTCGATTGGAGTGATTCAAGCACCCACACGAAGTTTACAACGTATACTAGCTAATGGAATAAGTTTAGACTTGATCTGACGTTTCGATCTAAAATTTAATACTCGGGTGCAAAAAGTCATTTTTTTCTTTCAAAAACTTACACTATAAGTGCTCAATTTACATTTCTTATTCCATTAGACCACTTCGGGCCTTGAACCAAGTTCAAAAAGACCACATACACCTTATTAGCATCACAATACACATATATCATATCAATAGCTCATTTTGGCCTCTCAAAGCCACATCATACAATTATGGTCTTATATAAGAAAATCACACGTATAATTACATAATCATCAGATTTGTTCCACTTTCAACCCTCCGACTCTTGCATATAGGGCTCCGCCTCACCATATGGTCAAGAATTATAAATGTACTCGACTCTTTCAAATGGGGTTCTGCCTCACCATTTGTGTCAAATCCTTACCATTTGTGTCAAGTTCTCAAATCACAACATCATTCACATTCAATTCACAATCAATACATAATCATCACATGTATTCACAAATATAACAAGTTACAATACAATATATACTTGCTTGATTCGCATTTAAGCCTACCTACATATCCTCTATTGGGGCACCTTCAGCATAATGCAATATCATACATATATACAAGCAAATTTCACCATACAATCAACTTTCTCATATTCACATACATTTATGCATCCTAGTTGGCAATTTAACTTTATCAACAACTTTGTACATTCATTTTTACTTAAAGGTAGTTAAATTACTATCAATTGAAACTACTCTCTCCTCATTTCCTTTCCTGACCTTCTTATGTTCTCTTTACTTGTGTTTAAAAGTAACGAAGTGAGACATATGTCCCAATAACTCAAACGTAACCCCAATTACCAGTTAATAAGCAAAATCATAAACAAGCGATAAACTAGTATGTGTAATGATAAAAGCAATAATTTATACATATATAGGAATTTATTCTCATCAATTCATTATGCTCATGCAATACATTCTTGATTCTCCCTGGTAGAGTAAACTTTACAACCAAACTAAGACTTTCAGTAACAAGGAACAGAGCCTACCATACCACTACTCAAACCAGGTCATTCTTTTCATATGGGTGATCCCCTAGGTTCGTTATAGTGAGGTCAAGTTCTATGCTCTAAATTATCAGGACTTCCTAGTCTTATACAGAGTAGGACCACGACCCCCTACCCTAGTCTAGGGTAACCTGAATCACTCCATATCTTAGGTCCGTCGTGGCGGAGTCAAGCTCTATACTTTAGATCATCAGGACTTCCTGGACTTCCTCACGATAAGGCTACATTTCCCCCTACTATAATCTAGGGTATATCTCATAGATGCGATGCATATCAGTGCACGTACCACTTTAAATTCATTTCAATTAATACTCACACACACGCATGCATATACTTTCACAATGTTGCTACTCTAACAGGTCACAATATAATGCACATAGTTATATCAAAGTACTTGCAAATAATTTCACAAACAAACAAGTAAAAAGGTTACTCCAATTACCTTTAACCCTTGCTACTAAGGGTTACTAACCACACTAAGCTCCCAAAGGCGTAGATTGTCATGAGCAATTTCACAGGTACTCAATCTACATAACACAGTATCCCTCAGTCGATTCTCAACACATCTCATAGGCATTGATTCGGCTTAACTGAATCCCTTAACACATAAAATAGTTCAATTGAACCCTTTTTAACTCACTTATCCATTATTTATAGTAATTAGTCTTATAGGCTGCTCAAACAACCATAATAACCTCCTAATCCATTCATACGACCAAATTCTCACTATTTAACCTAACTTTTGGCTATTTTGAGCTAAATACTCAAAACTCAACTATTCAACTCCATACTAGTCACAAAACCTTAGTTTTGTATTTGATATCCCATTTTAACCTTTTCTTCTAGATTATAACACCTCAGAAGGGGTAGAATTGAAGTTTGAGATTGCGCGATACTTATCTAGCAAGTTATCAATCAAAGCAGACTCTCAAACTCTAACTATGGCTTACCCTAGCAGAGATGGATTTCTCTTTCCCTCTAGATGCATCTCTAGC